GCATGCGCCACATACATTGCACCACACAGATTCTCCCTTCTAAAAAGAGAATAGACTCTACCCCCGCCCCCTGAGTTATCGCCCCCCCTTTCGCGTATGTAAATCAGATATGATTATGACCACATGTCCATCCTAAATATGAAATCACAATGTCCCAGGCCAACCGGTATCCCCCCCCTGAGGTTCCCTTGCAAAAAAACACTATGCGGTAACATTGTTTGTTCTAACATAACACTTTTTCACGAATCCCTTGCAAAAAATGGGATGAAGTGCACACGCGCGCGTCGTCGCGCGCGCATGCCGAAATCCTTCAAAAACCTTTGGTGCCCGAAGGATTTCGCAATCGAGTTTCCAAAAAACATACAAAAACACAAGGTTTCGTAAGACTGATTTGCTAAAAAAGCTTCCGCGCGAACTCTTGCGAAATCTTAAGAAAACCATTGGTTTTTCAAGATGTTCACAACATGCTACCAAACGGGCGTCGCCCGCGCGCATGTCGAAATCTGTCGAACGCCCTTGCGCGTGTGCCGTCGCGAGAATCCTCTGCAAAAATGTGACGAAGTGCAGACGCGCGCGTCGTCGCGCGCGCACGCCGAAATCCTTCAAAACTCATCGGTTTCGGAAGGATTTCGAAATCGCGCGTCCAAAAAACCTACAAAAACACAAGGTTTCGCAACACGAGTTTTCAACAAAAGCGTGCGCGCGCGCTCTTGCGGCGTCGTCGTCGTCGTCGTCGTCGCCGTCCTCCCTCCTCCCGCGTCGTCGTCGTCGTCGCCTACGTCGTCCTGTGTCTTTCCTCGTGTTCGTCGTCGTCGTCCTCTTTGGCGTCGTGGTCGTTTCCGTCGTCGTTGTCGCCGTGGTCGTCCTTCTCCTCCCTCGTCGTCGTCGTCGTCGTCCGTCGTCGGTGTCTCGTCGTCGTCCCTCCTATTTCGCCGCCGTCGTCGTCGTCGTTGTCGTCGTCGTCTCGTCGTCGTCTTTCCTCCTCCCTCGTCGTTGTCGTCGTCGGCGTCGCCGTCCTCCCTCCTCCCTCGTTGTCGTCGTTGTCGTCATTGTCGCCGTCGTCGTCCTCCCTCCTCCCTCGTCGTCGTCTTCGTTGGCGACGTCGTCGTCGTCGGCGTCGGCGTCGTCGTCTTCGTCGTCGTCGACGTCGGCGTCGTCGTCGACGTCGTCGTCGTCATCGTCGTCGTCGTCGTCGGCCGTCTTGCTTCTCCAGCCTTCTTGGGGCTTTCTTGAGACGCCCCCGAAGGCTCCAAGACGACCCTGGAGCGATATCTGTGCTCGGTCCCGCATGGGTTTTGCAAACCAAGTTGCGGGTGGGTGGGTGGGATGATTGCGCGAGCAGTGGAGTTGACAACTTCAAGTTCGGCAAGTAATTAATTCTCCTTTCTAAAAAGAGAATAGACTCTATCCCCCCCGGACTTATCGGTTCCCCCTGGGATAGTATGATTTCATATATATACACATATATACATATATACATATATATATATATATACTGCACACTCGTCCATCCTAAATATGAAAGCATACCATCCCAGCTAGGCCGGTTTCCCCCCCCCTGAGGTTCCCCTGTAAAAAAAAAACATATGCGGTGACATTTTTGGTTCTAACATTACACTGTTTCACGAATCCCTGGCAAAAAACGAGACGAAGTGCACACGCGCGCGTCGTCGCGCGCGCATGCCGAAGTCCTTCAAAAACCTTCGGTGCGGGAAGGATTTCGCAATCGAGTTTCCAAAAAAAAAACATACAAAAACACAGGGGTTTCGCAACACAGAGTTGCTAAAAAAGCTTCCGCGAAAGCTCTTGAGAAATCTTAAGAAAACCATAGGTTTTCAGGATTTTCACAACATGCTACCAAACGGGCTTCGCGCGCGCTCATGTCGAAATCTGTCGAACGCCTTTGCGCGTGTGCGGTCGCGAGAATCCCCTGCAAAAAATGTGACGAAGTGCAGACGCGCGCGTCGTTGCGCGCGTATGCCGAAAACCTTCAAAACCCATCGGTTTCGGAAGGAATTCAAAATCGTGTGTCCAAAAAACCTACAAAAACACAAGGTTTCGCAACACGGATCAACAAAAGCGTGCGCGCGCGCTCTTGCGTCGTCGTCGTCGTCGGCGCCGTCCTCCCTCCTCCCGCGTCCTTGTCGTCGTCGTCGTCGCCTACGTCGTCCTGTGTCGTTCCTCGTGTTCGTCGTCGTCGTCGTCCTCTTTGGCGTCGTGGTCGTTTCCGTCGTCGTTGTCGCCGTGGTCGTCCTTCCTCCTCCTCCCTCGTCGTCGTCGTCGTCCGTCGTCGGCGTCTCGTCGTCGTCCCTCCTATTTCGTCGCCGTCGTCGTCGTCGTCGTTGTCGTCGTCGTCGTCGTCGTCGTCCTCCTCCCTCGTCGTTGCCGTCGTCGGCGTCGCCGTCCTCCTCCTTCTTCCGCGTCGTCGCCGTTCCTCCCTCGTCGTTGTCGTCGTTGTCGCCGTCGTCGTCCTCCCTCCTTCCTCGTTGTCTTCGTTGGCGACGTCGTCGTCGTCTTCGTCGTCGTCGTCGGCGTCGGCGTCGTTGTCGTCTTCGTCGTCGTCGACGTCGGCGTCGTCGTCGTCGTCGTCGTCGTCGTCGTGTCGTCGTTATCGTCGTCGTCGGCGTCGTCATCGTCGTCGTCGTTGTCATCGTCGTCGTCGTCGGCGTCGGTGTCGTCGTCGTCGTCGGTGTCGTCGTCGTCGTCGTTGTCGGCGTCGTCGAAGTCGTTGGAGACGTCGTCGGTGTCGTCGTAGTCGTTGTCGGCGGCGTCGTCATCGTCGTTGTCGCTGTCGTCGTCGGCGTCGCTGTTGTTGCCAAGTGCCATGTGGTACCGTCACGGTCTTCAGAGATCTTGCAAACCAAGTTGCGGGTGGGTGGGTGGGATGTTTGCGCGAGCAGTGGAGTGGACTACTCACTGCGAACAGAAAACTGCACCACATAGATTGCACCACATGGATTGCACCACCAGGTAGACTGCACCACGCAGATTGTACCACCTAGCTTACATCACATGATTTGCTCCACATCGCTTGCATCACGTAGATTGCGCGTCATGGCTTACACCACATAGCTTGCTTGGCATAGCTTGCACCATGAAGCTCACAACACGTTCATTTCACCACGTAGGTTGAACCACATATATTGTACCACATAGCTTTCACGATCTTGATCACACTGAATAATTCATAGCTTGCACCAAATAGTTTGTACCATATGTATTGCATTACCGAGTATAGTATTCCAGAACGCACTGTTTGGGGTCCACGCCGGCTAACATTCAGCGTCCCTTGTACTATCACGATGACTTTAGGTACTTTCGGATCATCGGGTCCTGGTCTACTTCCAGCGCCTTCCTGCTTCCAGAACCGCGTCGGCCGCCTGCCCCTTGGGCGGGACGAGGCAGGCCGAGTCGGCACCAACCGTCCTTCTGGTTCACGTTTCTTGCAGCCTCTTGGCGAACGGCCTGGAACCAGAAATCCTCCAGATGCGTCTGCGCACGACTTCTCCACCGGCGCCTGGACCCCCGCCCCCGCCCCCGCGGCGCCCTTCGGCCACGCGCAGCGGGGGGCAGGGGGAGGGGGGAAGGCTCCTTAGAAGCGCCCTGCTTCTTGGGAGGCGCGGGCCGTATCTGTAGATGTAGGGCCGGCGGCTTCTAAGAAGCAGCCTCCTTCTGAGAAGGCGTCCCCCCTCCCACCTCCCCCCGCACCCGCGGCGCCCTTCGGCACCGCCCTCGAAGCTCTTCAGCGCGGCAGGGAGGGGCTACGGAGACTGCAGAGAAGCCGCCCGCGGACGTCTCCGAGGTTTGCGTGTGGGGGCTAGGCGGAGGAGGAGGAGGAGGAGGAGGAGGAGGAGGCGGAGGAGGGGGAGGAGGGTGGAGAGGAGGAGGAGGAGGAGGAGGGGGAATAGGAGCAGGAGGAGGAGGGTGGGGAGGAGGAAGAGGAAGAGGAGGAGGAGGAGGGAGAGGAGGAGGAGGTGTCTACCGCTGCCCCCCCGTGGGGGCTCGTCCGTTCTCCCCGCCCGATTCGTCTCGCCGCCGGCTGGCGGCGGCTCGTTTTTTTGTTTCCTGCCGACCTCGTCGGGGTCCCATGTGGCGCGGGCGGACTTTTTGAAGGCTGCGCACCGCCGGAGGCGGAAGCCGTGGCCGCGATTGCTCGCTCATGTAGTCGGCGCAAAGGAAACGTTCCAGCGTTGTTTACCCCTCTTTCCGACCCTCCTCCTTCCGATCCTCTTGCTGCTCTCCTTCCCGTCCCTTCCTCCCGTCCCCCGCATCCCTTCTTCCCGTCTTTCTTCCCGTCCTTCTGCCCGTCACCCTACATCCCTCCAATCCCCCTTCTTCCCCCTCATGATCACCCTTTCCCCGATGTGTTAACGTTGACGCAATCGCTTAAGAGAGCCACGGCCAAGGCTACCCATGATGAGCTGCCTCAAGTGGGGGTGTAGCTCGGCTCTGCGCCCTTGGACGAGGGGGGCCTCTGCCCCATCTGGTCGGTCGCAGTGTCATGCTCATCCTTTGCCCTCCTCGTTCACCCATTCCCCTGGCTGCCTCTCCAGCACGGCCGTCTCCCCACCCTGCGGCCCGCCTCGTCAATCTCATCCTTCTCGAGACTAGCCCGACGACGATGAGGGAGGTGGCGGCAACGTTGACGACGACGACGAAGAGCGACGACGTCCTCCTCCTCCTCCTCCTCCTCCTCCTCCTCCTCCTCCTCCTCCTCCTCCTCCTCTATCCTCCTCCTCCTCCTCCTCCGCCTCCTCCTTTCCTCCTCCTCCTCCTCCTCCTCTCTCTCCTCCTCCTCCTCCTCCTCCTCCCCTCTCCTCCTCCTCCTCCTCCTCTCTCCTCTCCTCCTCCTCCTCCTCCTCCTCCTCCTCCTCCTCCTCCTCCTCCTCCTCCTCCTCCTCCTCCTCCTCCTCACACCTCTCCGTGGCCAGCTCCCTACCCTGCTCGGCGTGCTCCGACAGAAGCCCACTGCAAGCTCGCTCTCGCGCGCGCGCCTCCTCAGATAGAGGCCTTCTGGCAGGCTCCCGGCGCTCCCCAGATGGAGGCCGGGGCCGAGGCTGGGAGCACGCCGGGAGCCCCGCAGGCGGCGGCCCCCCGCGGGGGAGGCTGGGCAGCGGCCGAGGGAGCCACGGCGTCGCACGGGAGGGGGATCGACGAGGAGGAGGAGGAGGAGGAGGAGGAGGAGGAGGAGGAGGAGGAGGAGGAGGGGAAGGGAGGAAGAGGAGGAGGAAGAGGAGGAGGGAGGAGGAGGAGGAGGCCGAGAGGAGGAGGAGAGGAGGAGGAGGAGGAGGAGGAGGAGGAGGAGGGACTAGGAGAAGGACGAGGAAGAGGAAGAGGGAGGACGAGGAAGAGGAAGAGGGAGGACGAGGAGGAGGAGGAGGAGGAGGAGGAGGAGGAGGAGGAGGGAGGACGACGACGAGGAGGAGGAGGAGGGGAGGAGGAGAGAAAGAAGAGGAGGAGGAGGATGAGGGGGAGGGGGGGAGGGGGGGAGAGGGGGAGGAGGAGGAGGAGGAGGAGGAGGAGGAGGAGGAGGAGGAGGAGGAGGAGGAGGAGGAGGAGGAGGAGGAGGAGGTGGAGGAGGAGGAGGAGGAGGAGCAGCAGCAGCAGCAAGAGGAGGAGGAGAGAGGGTGGAGAAGGACGAGGGCGAGAAGGACGCGGCCGGCTACTTGCTTGTCGCAGGCGTTTTCTCTTTCGCATCGGCGTTCGCGCTGGACATGGGGGTGCGTGAGCCACGGACCGTGTCACCGTCACCGTGCGAGGGGGAGGGGGATAAGGAGCACCGGCATCAGCACCTCCAAGGGAGCATTCGGCGCCTCCCTGCCTACTGCCTCCGGTCTTTCCATTGCGAATCATGTTATTGTTGATTTTGCTCCACCAGTTTTTCAGCATCCATGCGGTCCAGACTCTTCTGTTGCATATCGTATCTACGTGGATGGGCACAAGATTCATAATTGTTCTGGAAGTGATGGCGTTCCTTGTTATCCGCAGCTTGCCCCAGAGGCCTACCCCACGGTTTCGTATGCTCGTGAACAAACGCGTGTTCGCGGAGACCTTATTGCGATTGGCCGTCTTCTTAGGGATCGTTTTCTTGCAGGTGGGTTTCAACTTGCTCTTGGGGACCATATATTCGGGATGTCCGTGCTGAAGGCCGTACCCATGCTGACGTGCATCGTCGGCTTAGTCTTGGTTATATTACAGGCCCCGAGTGCCACGATTGATACAGGCTGCAGCGCCTTGGAAACCCCAGTGCACGAAGCTCTCCATATTTGGGTTGAGTGCTGTGAGACAGCGTGGTCACAATTTCGATCGGGATTCTTTCTCACCTGGACGGCGAGACTGCGAGCCTTCGCGCCGCTTTGCCTACTGGAGTGAGGCCCATTCGTGCTACCCTCTGCACCGCTGAGCTTTGAAGCGTGCCTTAGTCCCTAATCGTGAGAGCCCTTATTCGCTGTCTGTCCTGTTTCACCTTCCTCTCTGAGGACCCAGACGATGTCTTGAATATTCCTGCTTTTGCTGCTCCTCCTCCTCTTGCCTCCCCCGTCCTGGGCGGAAGGAACAGAGAGAGGGCGAGGAGGAAGTGGGGGAAAGCGAGGTTGTGAGGCGGAAGAGGATGAGGGGAGGAAGCAGCCAGAGGAGAGGGCAGAGGGCACAGAGTGCATGGAGAAGGGGGGGGGAAGAGAATCAGGAGGACAAAGAGGATCAGAGTCGGACGACGCCGACGCCACCGACGATGACGACGACGACGACGACGACGACGACGACGACGACGACGACGACGACGACGACGACGACGACGACGGCGGCGACGACGACGACGACGGCGGCGGCGGCGGCGGCGGCGGCAACCAGCGACGGCGACAGCTGGCGACGGCGACGACTGGCGGCGACAACTGCGACGGCCTTGGCGATAGCGGCGGCGATAGCGGCGGCGGCGCTGACGGGCGGAGCCCGCCTTCGCGAGCTGCGGCGGCTCCCCGGCCCAGGCGCGCGCTGCGACGGGCGCGCCCGCGGGCGGCGCCTTGCGGCGGGCTTCCTATGCGGAGAGGCGGAGGAGCCCCGGCCTCGCAACCCCCAGCCTCCCGAGGAAGAAAACGTACTCGGGGGAGGAGGAGGAGGAGGAGGAGGAGGAGGAAGGAGGAAGGAGGAAGGAGGAAGGAGGAGGAGAAGGAGTGAGGAGGAGGAGGAGGAAGGAGCAAGGAGGAGGAGGAAGGGGAGGAGGAGGAGGAGGAGGTTGGGAGGGAAGGAGGAGGAGGAGGAGGAGGAGAAAGGAAGAGGAGGAGAGGAGGTAGAGGAGGATGAGGAGTAGGAGGGGAGAGGAGGAGGGGAAGGAGGAAGGGAGGAAGGAAGAAGAGGAGGGGGAGGAGGAGGAGGAGGGGAGGAGGAAGAGGAAGTGAGGAAGGAGGAGGAAGAGGAGGGGGGGGGAGGAGGAAGGAGGAGTGAGGAAGGAGGAGGAGGAGGAGGAGGAGGAGGAGTGACCAGGGGGGATATCATGGCGGCGGCCATGATGTCTCCCCAGGCTTCATGGCGGCTTTTCATGTCAGCACGTCCCTGCCCCCCACCCCCCCCCCCCCCGGGCCGTGCACGCGCCGCCAGCCGTGATTTGCCCCCCCCCCCCCCCCCGCCCCCTCTTGGACGCCCCCCTCTTTGGCCGCCCCCCAAGGCCTAAGGCGTACCCCACCCCTTCTCCCTTGGCCTTTGCTCGGGCGTGTGCACTGCTTCTCGGCGAGGACCATCGAGGAGCATCCTGGATCGTCGGGCGGAAAGAGCGCGCACGGAGCCCAACAAGGCACGGGGCACGGAGGTCCGAGAGCGCTGGCTAGCCTCCGCGCGAGGCGAGCATCTGCGTGAGCGCTCCACACAGGCGAGCACGTCGACAGATGTGCACGATCTGCGCTGCCCCCCCGCCGTGCCACCCACGAGCCTACGGAAGTGGCGACGCTTGCGCACTTCGCAGCCTCCCAGACAGCCGCGAGGTGTCGGCTGGATCCGCATGGCCCCCGACTCCGCTGGACCTCCAAGGAGCCCACGAATGCGGCGACAATTGCGCAGTTCGCAGCATACCAGGGAGCTGCGAGGTCCCGTCTGCGTGCGCCTGGCCCCCGGCTCCGCTGGACCTCCCAGGAGACCACCAAAGTGGCGCCAGTTGCGCAGTTCGTAGCCACCCAAGGAGCTGCGAGGTCACGCCTGGGTGCGCGTACCTCCCTACTCCGCCGTGCCTCCTAGAGGCCCACGACAGTGGCGCCAGTTGCGCAGCTCGCAGCGCCCCAAGGTTGAAGTATCAAATTGAAAAGGTTCACAGTATCAACTTATTCACGCTTCGCGTATCCCCACCAGCCCATTCAGAAGCCCTGCCCACGAGAGCTGACGGGAAAAGGGACGAAGGGACACATCTAGGGAAACAAAGCAAGCAACCAGGATGAACCGAGAGATCTCTGGGAGCAAGGGGGTTGCCTTTGAAGGCCTCTTCGGGTCATCCCTAGGGGCCGCGTGGGGCGAGGGGAAGAGGAGGAGGAAGAGGAGGAGGAGGTGGAGGGATCCAAAGAGTGTGATCCCTGGTGTGTTGCTGCTGGTGGTGCTGCTGATGTTGTTGCTGCCTCTGCTGGTGCTGCGGCCGGTGCCCTGTAAGGCCTGTTGGGGCCATCTAGGAGAGCATCGATCAAAAGATGGGGGGTCCTCGATTTCGGCCCCTCCCAGGAGCCCTCAAAATCGCCTCTTGGAGCTCTCCTGGGGCTCTTTGGGAGGGTATTGGAGCTCTCTCGGGGCTTTTTTGGGGGTCTTGGGGCCCTCTTTGGGCCTCTTGGGGCTCTTTTGGGGCCCTCTTGGGAGCCCTGGAAGGCCTCTTGAGGCCATCTTGAAGGCCATCGATCAAAGGAGGAGATAGTACAACGTTCAGCCCCCCCCCCCAAAGAAGCCAAAATGTGGCCAAAACCTTAGTAAAACCAATGAGTTTGGCTTCCTCGCCGAGGCCGTTTTGGACGCCCTGACACCTCGCGGGGGGGCCCGAAAAAGTCCAGGGGAGGGGTAAGGGGAGGGGTAAACCCCTCCAAGTAGGGGAAGAGGGTTTTTTGAAAGAGGGAACAGGAATCTCGTTAGACCACCTGCGCCCACAGGGCTGGCGGGATTGAAAGGTTCACGGGATGTTGAATGGAATGAAGGGTGGAAGACATATGGTGTATTTACGTTGGTGGTGGCGGTCGTACTGTACCCACCTTTGGTTCTAGAAGGGCCTATGGTGCCCCTCGGAGCCCACCCTGTCCCGTCCACAGGGACTTCGCACCCCCCCCTATGGTGGGGAGGTGGGTGGACGGGCAGCCCCCCCATGGCGTCGCACGTGCTGCGCCAGGGGTGATGGGGATTTCCATTGAAGGCAATGTGTTCCATGAGGTCCCTCTCGCCCGTCCCCCCCCACCCACACCCGGTCGCCGTTGGAATCCCTATGGTGGCCTCTGGTGCGGTCGGGTGGCATCGCCCTATGGTGGCTGATGCACCCGGCCCGCTGCCGAGCCCTATGGTGGCTCTGACCAGGAGGACGGCGTATTCTCCGAGTCCGCTGTGCTTCCCAGGAGCCCACGACAGTGGCGACAGTTGCGCAGTTCGCAGCCACCCAGGGAGCTGCGAGGTCCCGCCTGGGTGCGCACACTCCCCTACTCCGCCGTGCCTCCCTCCTAGGAGCCCACGACAGTGGCGACAGTTGCGCAGCTCGCAGTCCCCCAGGGAGCAGCGAGGTCCCGTCGGGGTCCATCGCGGACTCGGCGCCAGGCGCGGCTGCCTTCATTATCCGCCCTCCTTCCCCCATCCCTCCCCGCTCCTCGTCCTCCCTTCCCCCCTTCTCCCTGCGTGCTCCCCCTTCTTCCACCCCTTGCAGCTACGGTCGCCGGCGCGCGCAAGACGAGGCAGAGAGAGAGAGAGAGCCCCGTCACAAAGCTGCCCGGGATTGCGCAGACGCTCGGCCGAGCTCCGCAGCGGCGGCGGCGTGCTGTTGCCAGCCAGGGGGCCTACT